CTGAAAGGTTCCGGTGTTCGATTCCGGTCAAGGGAATGTACCTTGGTTGCGGGCATATCCCCAGTAGGGGGTGTGCAAGAGGCAGCTGATCAATGACTCTCTCACATCGATGTTTCTAACTCTCTATCTTTCTTCCTTCCTCTCTGTACAAAATCAATAAAAAAAAAAAATTTTACTCTCAAAAGAAATTTCAATCATCGTACTGTTGATATTTAGCTCTGTTGACTAATGAGTTTGCCGACCACTGACTTAGACCTAACAGACATACACAGAGCTCTTCACCCAACCAAAGCAAAGTACACATTCTTCTCACGTGTACATAGAGCATTCTTTGGGATTAGAAATAAAAACAATTCTCGCTGAAACCGGTTTGGCTCAGTGGATAGAGTGTCGGCCTGCAGACTGAAAGGTTCCAGGGCATGTATCGGTCAAAGGCATGTATCTTGGTTGTGGGCACATCCCCAGTAAGGGGTGTGCAAAAGGCAGCTGATCGATGATTCTCTCACATCTATGTTTCTAACTCTCTATCCCTTTCCCTTCCTCTCTGTAAAAAATCAATAAAAAATATATTTAAAAAAAAACAATTATCCCTAAATTTAGAAAAACTGAAATCATGCAAACTATTTTCTCTATCCATGGTGAAATGAAGCTAGACCTCAATAACAGAATAAACATTGGAATACCTGCAAATATATAGAAATTAAACAGTGCATCCTTAACAACTAATGAGTCAAAGAAGAAATCACAAGAGAAATCAGAAAATGCTTTGAGATGACTGAAAACAAAAACAAAATGTACCAAAACTTTTGGTACATTTTGGATGAAGTGAAAGTATTCAGAAGGAAATTCATATTTATATTCTATTTCAATGTAAACATCTACATTAAAATAGAAGATATTAAATCAGCAACCTACTTTACACCTTAAGGACCTAGGAAAGATTTAATCCAAAGCCATCAGAGCAGTGGTTCTCAACCCTTCTAAGGTCGTGACCCTTTAATATAGTTCCTCATATTGTAGTGACCCCAACAAAATAAAATTATTTTCATTACTACTTCATAACTGTATTTTTGCTAGTTATGAATTGTAATGTAAAAATCTGTATTTTCTGATGGTCCTAGGTGACCCTGCTAGTGGTACTCAACCTGTGGGTCTTGACAGGTTGCTGCCAGTGTAACACTAAAATTTCTAGTGAATTCACAATTTCTAAACCCAACAGCAAAGCATTTTAAATTTTAGATAAAATTGATGTTTATGTTGCAGTTTCTTGAGTTCCTCAGCTTTGATGAGGTTATTAAGTTCACAATTTTTATGTTTTAAACTAGAAGCTCGGTGTACTAAATTCATGCATGGGGGTAGGGGGAGGAGTTTTTCAGTCCAGCCTACAATCCAGGACCCCTCAGGGATGTCAGGCCTAAACTGGCTGAGATTCCTCTTGCAATCCAGGATGCAGCATGCACCAGTGACCATACTTTTTATACAGGTGAAAGGCATCTTGCTGTTGTAAGGGCAGCTACATTTTTTTGCCCTGATTATAAAAAGTAGTACGTAAGATGATTCTTCTGAGGCAATAGTACCATTTTCCCCAACTTATGGGTGGAAAAACTGAGGCAGAGGTAAGTTAAGTAATTGGCTTTGTCACACCATTATAAGTGTCAGAATCAGGACTGACCACAAAATGTGCAAGCCAGAGTCCATGCATGTCATCGCTGCATTGTCTTGTTTTTTCAGTGTTAGAGTAGCCTGGCCAGATTTTAATTTTTAAATCTAAGAGACTGTTCCCAATATATAGGGTAGGGTCTTTAGGCCTGGCCAGCGATCAGGGCCACCTGTGGAGTGACCAGTGGGCAGGGTGATTGGGGGCCCCCCACTGGTACCTCCCTTGACTGGCAGCCTGATGCTGTCCTGCTAGCTGGCCCTGCCCCCATACTGCAGCTCCCCTGGTGGTCACTGCGCATCATAGCGACCAGTCGTTCTGCCATTCGGTTCATTTGCATATTAGGGTTTTATTATATAGGATCATTCTAACAAGAACTTAATTTTTGGGGGTAACCAATGCCCAGAACTCTTATTAACTCTTTATCCAACTAGATTTTATTTAAATAATTAGCTATATATGAAAAGAACATTGCTAGTCCAAGGTTATATTCATAGACACTTCAATGTCAGTAAACTTTTTTCACAAGAATGTTGTGTGTTTTATAGGAAAAAGTAAGTCAACAGTCAAGTTTTTATTAAAAAGTTAAGTCTTCCCCTGGCTGGTGTCGCTCAGTTGGTTTGGCATCATCCCATGCACCAAAAGGCTGCCAGTTTGATTTCCAATTCAAGGCACATACCCAGGTTGCTGGCTTGATCCCCAGAAGGGGGTGTGCAGGAGGCAGTTGATTGGTGCTATGCTCTCTCATCAATGTTTCTCTCTCCCCCTTCCTAAAATAAAATAAAATAAAATAAAATAAAATAAAATAAAATAAAATATTTTTAAATTAAATCTTTGCAGGTTAAGGTAAAAATACTTTAAATAAGAAACCTCCCTTATTCTTAGAATTTAAACCTCCCTGACATATCTTATGTTTCAACCAATCAGAAGCTAGTTTATCTACACATACTAACCTTTCCTCCTTTCCTTTAAAAAAGTTTAATGATAAGATCTATCCTGAAAGAAATAAATTCAGTATTAACTCATGTCTAAATCAATGGGGTTAAAACTTTCAGCCACCCAGATCAGTTAGATTCAGACGCAGTGGAGGCCCAGCTCGGGGGTGGCCTAGAGCGGAGCAGCTCCAGGCATTTCCAGGGGTTAGGAACAGATGGAGTCCGGGCCTTGGCATCTCTTGAAAGATGGCCCTATGCTGGTCTCTATTGTGTAATGTCCCCTGTGGTCCAGTGACCTCTATTTATAGCTGTAGACTAAGTCTGCACAGTTCCTGTAGGTGAGTCTAAAGTCTTAATCTATGCATTCAGAGAAATATTTTTATCTGCTTTGTGTAATTTATAAGGATTTTTTTTTTTTTAAGCTCTGTTAACTCTGAATTCACCCCTCCTTCTCCACTGCATATTTAAAGCATGTGTTACTATGGGCAAACGTCCTCTGAAGATAATTTTCTTTGTGTATTGCTGACTGTTCAAGTATAACAAGTATTATTAAAATTATAAAATATATTTTTATTGATTTCTTACAAAGAGGAAGAGAGATAGCTAGAAACGTCGATGAGAGAGAAACACGGACCAGCTGCCTCTTGCACACCCCCTACCGGGGATGTGCCCGCAACCAACGTACATGCCCCTGACCGGAATCGAACCTGGGACCTTTCAGTCTGTAGACCGACGCTCTACCACTGAGCCAAACCAGTTTCGGCAAGTATTATTAAAATTAAATATTAACTGAAACAAATTTGGAAATAATACTTTATCTAAATAAACCAACATATCTTGTTGCTATGCAGTTCATTTTCATATGGCTAAGAAAAAAGTTCTCACACAGATTTCTGGAATGTGAGATAGTGTCCCCAAAAAATGTACACACTTAAAACTGATAGCTCAAATTCTTCCTTTTCAGATTTAACCCATTGGAATTAATAATCATTTAAAGTGTATATACATTTTTTGGGTTATTCTGTATGAGAGCATTTGATAATACTAATTATCTCAGCCTCTGCTCATCAATGAAAAAAACAAGTAAATCTTTAGTGATAGCAAAAAGACCAATTGCTTTGTTGCTCACCATTTTCTAGCCGTTAATACACTGAGAACACTAAAAATATAGACTCACCTTCTAATGAACCAGTACTTTAAATTTAGCTACATCAGTGGTTCTTAACCACGCTGACTTTGCCCCTTAAGGAATGTTTGGCAATGTTGACAGATATTTTTGGTTGTGACATCTTCCAAGTGCTACTGGCACTAGTGTGTGGACTCCAGTGATGCTGCTAAATCTATAACACACAGGTCACTCTCTCACAGTAAGGAATGATCAGACCCGAATGTCAAGTTTGAGAATCCCTGAGCTACATTACTGGTCTCATCCATTTCCAGCCTAAAATCTACATCACAATCTCAAAATTCTTCACTGAAGTGGTTTTAATGTGCAAGATGTAACTTTGATCTGTAATTACAAGACCTTGGGTAAGCAATACAATCTCAGGAAGGAGAGGGTAAAAATATTCAACAGAAAACTGACAGAGTGAAATATAAAAGAAAATATTAATCAAACCATAGCTACGAATGACCAAAATTTAAAGATCTCCTTTAACTTCTAATTTGCAATGTAAACAAATGTAAACAGTATAGGACATGACTGAAAATTAATGGGTATTGCAAAAGTTCATTCTATGTTCATGGCATATAAATACCTTTCCTGTAAGATAAAATTTAAAGAAACAACTATAACTAATTCTGTTCTTATTTGAACTTTCACCACTGTGCTTGCCTTTGCTGGCATACTAAGTTTGTTTTAGAAGGAGGTATGCATTAAATTAAACTGTTTTTTCTTCCTGATACTATATCAAGCAATAATAATAATAATAAAGAAAAATTTTAAAAAGATGCATTCAAATGGAATTCTATTTTTTAAACTTCTTAGCACTAAAAAGCACTTTTACGATATTTAGAATGTTCTTAATTCCAAATCAGATTGTCCCTTAATCTGTTAATTTCTTAGAATTAAAAAAGGGGGGGGGCAAGGGGTAACAAAATGATTTTTATATTAAAGTCTCAATTAATACAGATCCCTGAAAGTCAGTTTAAAATAAAAATCAAGTTTCACAAAATAAATACACTGAAGCAACTATAATAGTAATACTTTTATTTAAAATACTTGTTAATCTAGGAAAGCTTCTTTACATGAGTTTCCAACTAATTATTAAGAGTCAGAAACAAAGAAAATAAAACCAGAGAAAATCCTCTGTAGAAAAAATACACAGGAACATTTATTTCTACATGTGAAAAACAGTAAGCAGTCTTAATATCTGCATATCCAAGTCTTAGTCTCAATTCCATCTCTCCTAGTGAATACCACTATCAACCTTGACATCTGATTTGTTCTTGTCATTCTTCACTGAATAGATGAAATATGTTAAGGTGTCTTTTTCATTCACTGGAATGGACCTAAAGTGGCAACCAACTATCTATGAAAAGAAAAAAATGGAGGAAATTAAATTATAGATATTAACAGATTTCATAAATTAGGAAAAAAACACTTTCTCCAAAAGAAAAAGTACTATGTGATAATAAGAACTATTTCCATTTAAAAATAAACTGTATTTAACAAAATACCAACAGGACAAAAAGCATATAAGAATAAGATGTTATGAACAAGAGACAGTGTGATTTCCAAAACCCTTTAGCCCACTCAATTAAATTAATTAGAATATATATATTTACTTTTATTTTAAATTTTATAACTGGAATCTAGGTTAGAAAGCAGTATTTTTACTTTTTAAATTTTAAATATCAATGAAATAAAACAGAATGTTAGAGTTCACATGTATCATGTAATGGTTTAGGCCCTATTCATAGAAAAATAATAAATATGAAGTTGAAAGTTTGGTACTATAGAAACAAACCATGAAATATGATACAAATATGTTTTCTATGAATTATGTTCATTCATTCATTGATAATATTCTTTGTTAAGGGGTCTTAAAATTTTTTCTGAATAAAAATTACAAATAGAAAATGATAGGGAAAAGAGGGATGTTCACTGAAGAATGTTTTCCTGATTGCTTGCTTTTCCATGAATCTAACATGTACATTGAAACTAACTACCAAAAGAACTAAACTGGGATGCTCAAGAGCATATCTAGATTCTGGAAGATAAAACTTCTTAAAGAAACATTATCCAAATGATAAGAGACTTAAAGAGGATCATTATTCAATTCTGGAATAACTTATAAATATCTATATTTCTGACTAAATAAACTATAATACTAATAGGCTATTTGTTTACTTCTTTTTTTATTGAATTTAGAGAGAGAAAGGGAGAGAGAAAGAGATTTGTTGTTCCACTCATTTATATATTCATTGGTTGATTCTTTTCTGTGCCCTGACTGAGGATCAAATCCACAACGTTGGTGTATCAGGACAATGATCTAACTAACTGGGCTACTTGGCAAGGGCTACCATTCATGGCTATTTAGATTATGGCTATTTCTCATTAAACAAAAAACAAAACAAACAAAAAAACCTCTAGGGAAAAAAGTAATTATTTAGATTAGATTATCAAAAACTTTTGGTTTACACATTTAAAATAATTGTTTCTTTGGTTCTGATTTGTCCTAAAACAAAGTATTTCCACTCAATTAGTATATGTATATTTTGGTATTATTTCATCATGGAAGATAATAACTATATTTATGCTATACTAATGTGCTATATAATCCACACAGACTTGATAAATCAGATTTAAAGACAACTTGATTTTTGTTGCCTAGCCAAGAAGTAAGAAAGAATTCTGGTTAAGAAAATAATATTGGATCTTAACAATGTTAAAAAGCATTTCATTCTATAAAACAGCTGTACCTGCTATTCATCCTATACCTTATTCAATATGCACATTTTAGAAAATGCTGGGCCATTAAAGAATATGAGAAAAATGATTTATATATTTACATTTCTATTCTGCCTAGAGTAACATTTTTATTTTAAATATAATTAAAGTATAAATATATAACTCAATAAACATCTTAATATAATACTTAGACTACCAATAGAAGTACAGACTGCTTGGTTCTATTTTTCCTTAGAACACACACACATAAACACACACACATATAGTACTCAACTTTTCAAAACTCACTAAAGGACTAGAACTCCTACATCAAAACAAACTATTTAATTAAAATACCCTGCTCATATGTTCTTTGCATCTTCTAGATGTGAAGAAAACCTGGATGCCTAGACCCATTAACTAAGGGCCACTGGTTCAATACTGGATAGGTTACAGGTTCAATTCCTGATCTGGGTGTGGAAGAAAGACAACCAATCTGTTTCTCTCTCTCCTCTCTCTCTCTCTCTCTCTCTCTCTCTCTCCCCATCTCTCTAAAAAAAAACCAAAAAACAGCACAATAAAAAGATTTTTTTTTTTTTTTTTTTTTTTTTTTTTTAAAGAAAAGTGATTCCCAGTCAGGGCATATGTCCAGGTTGTAGGCTTGAATCCCCAGAAGTGTGATTCTCTCTCATCACTGATGCTCCTCTCTCTCTCTCTCTCTCTCTTTCTCTCTCTCTCTCTCTCTCTCTCCATCTCCCTTCCTCTCTGAAATAAAAATGTCAATAAAAATATATTTAAAAAAAAACACATGGATGTCTAAAATAAAACAAACTAACATTAACAAGGGCAAATTATGAAACATTTAAATCAGAAAGTTATGGAAATACTGTTTAGGAGTTTAAATGTAGACCTATTTCATTAGAAACTTAAAAAAATTCTGATAAAGATATCAAAGTTTATTAATTTATTTTATTATTCCTCAATTAGACATTCAATAATATTTGTTGAGTAAATGAAATTTTAAAATAAATTTTTAGAATAAGAATAAAAAATTAAATATTCCAGAAATCTATTATTAGAAGATGCTTAGCCCTGACTGGTTTGGCTTAGTGGATAGAGCATTGGCCTGTGGACTAAAGGGTCCCAGGTTCAATTCCAGTCAGGGGCACATCCCCAGTAGAGGTTGGGAGGGGGGCTAGGAGGCAGCTGATCGATGTTTCTTTCTCATCGATGTTTCTAATTCTCTATCCTTCTCCCTTCCTCTCTGTAAAAAATCAATATAATATATATTTTTAAAAAAGAAGATGCTTAGAAGACTATATCCATTGAGTAGTCATTACGTAAAGAAATTTACTAAGAGTCAGACAAAATTTCTAGGTAACTAGATTCTTCCACAATAGACTTTTTAAAAATTAAAATTGATCTTTCTAACTAAAATATATTGTTTTATATAGCCGTTAACATTTCATTAGCATTTAATGACTTCTTTTTTGTATGAACAGAGTTCTGCTTTAAATAGTTAAAACTCATAAATACCTCAACAAGTTGTGCTTTATTAAGTCCTGGTCTGGTTGGTAGTTTGAAGTGTCTTTTGTATCTCCTAAGTGTATTTACTTGTAATTGGTATAAATCAACCTAGAAAAAATTAACATATATGAATTAGTTCAAGCAATTTGTTAAAAACTTATCTTTGATATGCATAACATTTCAATTACTGCACAATAAAATTTTCACTCTATTATTTTATAGAATCAAAACTATAAATGTAATAAACATTTTGATCTTTTGAAGGTAAATATTAAAAACTGTTTAGGGGGGAAAGTAAAACCACAGAACTATAAGATTTGACAATTAAAAATATAAAAAAATAAAAATAAAAATATAACAAGTCAAATTGTGTAACTGTGTGTTAACTGGCTATATTTAATTTTGCTTTCATTTCCAGATTTTTTAAATGTTTTAAGTATTTTTCAAATGTGTTCATATTTTTTTATATAAAAGCTTGAGAATGGACTACTTAGGATTTACACTTAACATGTAAAAACTTTCCTCTACCTCTGGAGTATCAATATCTTGAACTGGTGAATCTCCTCCATCATCATCACTCCCTTTTCTCTTTCTTCTGTTTCGAACACTCTGGATTAAATTTTTATGATAATCACAAATGTAAAGATGCCTTACCTGAAACAGAAAAGTTTCACATACTATTTACAATTACAGTAAAACACATCTATGTATTAGTAAAATACATAGACCACAGTGAATCATTTAAAAAACAAGTCAAAACAGGGCACTGTTAAGGGAATTTTTTTTCCCTGAAGTCCTGCACACAGTTAACACATGCATGTCTGTCTGGCCATACTGTTAAGAGCCTTGGGAAGTGGGGTGGGGAGGGGTGACCGTCAGGAAGGAAGGAAGAAAGAAGGAGAAATTCCAACCCTCTAGACTTTGTCAGCGAGTTTCAACTAGATGAGTTAAGTCATGATGTTTTGCTAACAAGGGGAATAATGATGTTGCCCACAAGGATTTTGCTATTTGATAGTACTTTCTCTATTTAAAGAGCATATGCTAGTAGCATAATATATATTTCTTAATCTTTCTAATTTAATACTTCAAATATAAAACTGTTCCTTTTTACAAATGAGCTACTGATTTTCACAATAACTAAAGTTAGATTTGAAACGATAGTTTCCTGAGCATTACATGTATATACCTGTAATACGTTTCCCCAACCAAAGCAATGGGAAATTATTCGAGTGCACCTAGAAAGTTTCTCATGAACATAACCGAAGCACTGTTTATAAGCAAGCAGAAGGTATCACAAACCTTCCAAAATGTTAATGACATATAGTCTTGAGAACTGTATACTAACATGTGAAATCCTGGGCTTCGTACAGTAACAGCTACTTCTTTAAAAAAACAAACAACAACAACAAAAAAAACAACAACAACAACAATAAAGCACTGAGCTAACAGGCTTTTACATGAACTTGTATGCTAAGTGCGAGTTACAAATGAGAGCAGGAAGCATGCTAAGATTCTGACTTCTTGTTCTTCATTGACCGCCTGCCAGAGGTCCGGAAAGTGGCAATGGTTGTTTCTAAAAGTCTCACCGACACACAGATGGCCACAATAACAGACGGGCAGAAAGGGCGTTGAAGGAAATCCTGGTGGCGGGGCGAAGCCACAGAGAGAGAGACAGAGAGACACTACGTGCTCGCCACGCCGGAGCAGCGGCCCCAGATGCTGACTCCGCCGCTGCCGCTCGCACCCCGGGCTCCCGGCAGAGATCAGGGGGTGCTCGGCAGCCGTGTGTGTGTGTGTGTGTGTGTGTGTGTGTGTGTGCGCGCGCGCGCGCGCGCCCGCTCAGGGGGGACAGGAAGCGGGATCTTCCTCGTCAGCAGCGTCAGGCAGGTCCTTGCAGGATCCCACTTTCCCCGAAACCCGGGCAGCCTACTCCCGGGGGCCAAACGCCGGCCAGCTCGCGGGGCAGCAAAACAAAGGCGCCTCCATTCCAAAAGGAGCAGCGGGGCTACAAGAAAACTACTCCGGGGCCTCCCTCCGAGCGCCGGTTCCCTTTGTTTCGTTTCCAGATCTCTGGGAGGTGGGAAGGGGGAAGACCGGGAGCCGGAGGGACGCGGGAGGCGGGGGGCCGGAGGCTGCGGGGGCGAGGCAGCGCCGCGTGCAAGTGTGTGTGTGTGTGTGTGTGTGTGTGTGCCTTTGGGGAGTGGCGGCCGGAGTTGCTGCGACTTTGTTGTTTGCTTCCTACCAGAGACCCCCCCCCCTCCCACCACCACGGGTTTGCACCGCTGACAGGTCTGGGGGAGCCCTGAGACCCCGGCCCAACAGCCCCCAGTGTGAATCGCCCCCGGACCCCCAAGGGGGCGGGCAGGGCAGGGCAGGGCCGGGCCGTCCCGCCGCCGTCACTTACGCTCTTGTCCAGCTCGATCTTCACCTTCTTCTGGGAGATGCTCTTCTGGATCCTCTTGCTGAAGCTGGCGTTGCCCGCCGCCCGGCCGCAGCGCTCGCCGTCCTCCCGCAGGCAGCACAGCTGCCCGGGGCCCGGCCCGGCCGCCCCCGGGGGCCCCGCCGCCGCCGAGACCGGCCCGGCGCCCGGCAGCTCGGTCCCTGCACCCGCTCCCGCCCCGTTCCCGGCGGCCGAGGCGGCGGCGGCGGCGGCGGCAGCGGCGGCGGCCGCAGCGACCACCGCGGCCACTGCAGCGGCCGCGTCCCCGCCGCGGCTCAGGTCCTCCGGCGGGAAGCCGTTCATGCCTCCGCGCTGCGGGGCGCCGGCGCCCACAGAACCTCCGCGCCGCCTCGCCGGGCCGCTCCGCTCCGCGGTCTCCGGATACTCCGGGGTCTCGGCGGGGTCCCTGGCCCCTTGGCCTGGCGGCGGCAATTCACTCTGCACCCCGAGTCCTTTTGGGCAGCACAGCCAGACACCGGGCGTGCTGGGGTCTGCGGGCTCCGGACAGCGCGGACAGTGCTCAGGAGGGTCGGCCAGCAGAGCCGGGCGGCGCCAGGAGCTGAAACCCAGCTCCCTGTCACATGGAGACTCTCCAGCAGTTGGACCGCAGCGTCTCCGCCTCCCTCCGGCCCTTGGACCGGCGCAAGCGCACCTGAGTCCTCTGCCGCCGCGCCCCTCCCGTTCTGCCTCAAGGCACGACGGGAACTGTAGTACTCTTCTGGGCAAGTCCACCTAAACTCCGTCCCGATCCCGCGCCGCGCGCGTGGGAGGAACTACGTGTCCTAGCATGCCTTGCGCCGCAATGGGCCGGACTGTTCAATTATTTTTTTGAAACCTCGGGGAAAACAGGGGCGTGTTGTGGGGGTTTGCTGCTACGTTTTCCAGCTTCTAAGCCCTTGGGGGAGGTTGGTTGGTTGGTTGTTTAGCTTCTGGAATTTTGCAGAGTTGGCATTCTAGACGACGAAGTCACTCAACTCCGGAAGCGAAGCGGCAAAAGGAGGGGGGCAGCGGAGGAGGGGAATGAGGGTGCAGGAAAAAGTTTCGGGGTCGTTATGGAATGTGTGATAAAAAGAGTTTTGTGTGTGTGTGACCACGCTTTTGTGGGAAACCCACACCAAAGACCACTCGGGCGAGCTGGCGCTTGGCGGGTCCGGGAGGTTCCGCTGCAAACCCCGGGGCTGAGCAGCCGTTCCATTCATTGACGCGACTTCAGAACGCCCGCTCAGCGCCAGTCTCCTCGCAGACGCCTGGGCAGAAAGAAGGCCGTTTCGAAATTGTTTGCACGTCCCTGCAAGGGCACGCGTTTTATTTTTGGGCTCACCACGTCTGCGGCTTCCTGAAGTGGAGCTACCGACTAGTTGTTGACTGTAATAGGCCTTCTTTTCGCCGCCACCCCCAATCCTTTTCATTTCTCCTGGAAGGAACCTGGAGAGGACGGAGTCTAACGTTTTTAAAAAGGGAACGTGGGACCCTACCAAGACCGAGTTAGTGTGAGGGCTCCTCACAAAGTTTCTGCAGGGGAGAAAGAAACCGCGTTTCCTGGGCTGTCGTGTTGGCGGTGTGTGTGTGTGTGTGTGTGTGTGCGCGCGCGCGCGCGCGGGTGTGCACATGGCTGTGCGTGCGTGCATGTGGGCGCGTGCTTGTGGAGAGCCAGGCAGAAGGATGGGAGTGGCAAATACAAAAGCTGCACGTTTGCTAGTTACTGCATGTCCTAAATCAGTAACAATCCCATTGTTTGAAGAAAAGACAAACCAATAGGGTTTTGGTGGTGGTGTTTTTGAAAGTTCACTTAGACTTCCTGAGTAAATTTAGTGATTTTTTTTTTTTTTAAATGTGTCTTCTGTCCTGGAATTCAAAGCTATCCATTCTACCTGTGGGCTTCCGTTCTATGATTTGGCAAAGGAAAACGGAAGAATTAAAATATTATATAAGTTGAACAGTCAAAAGAAAGATGCGAAATGGTAAGTGCCTTGTGCTATATTTCCAATCTGCACTGGTTGTCCAGTAGGCATATTGTGGCTATTTGAGCACTTGAAATAGGGTTATTGCAACTGAAAAATTGAACTGTTAATGTTTATTTTAAATTTTAAAAACTGATTTCAGTTACTGAAAACTTTTTTATGTATGTGTGGAACAACCAGAATATATGAGTCTGTTTTTTCAACTTAAACTTTATGAATTCTAAATTCAGCATTGGAATTGAAATATGCTGTAAGTATCAACTAGTAGTGGGATTTCAAAGACAGTAGCAGAAATTTAAAACACAGAATATTGAATAGCAAATTAACGATTTTTATGTTGATTACAAGTAAATTTTACCTGTTTTTAATGGGACTACTGGAACATTTAAAGCTTTACACATGGCTGACATTTGCATTAGATAAGTCTGGCTTAAAGTGTTAAAACATAGAATAATACTACCTTGTTTATAGATATACTATGGGCCCAGTGCACAAATTCGTGCACCTTGAAAGGAACTGTGGGCCATGAGGCTGTGGTGGGCCCATCCTCCTCAGCCCCACTGGCACCTCCTGCAGTGGGCCCTGTCCCCTGTCTGCTGGCAGCCCCCACCCCTGCCACTGCAGCTGCTCTGGCATGGAGCTACTGGGGCTGGTGCAAGCAGGGAGGTGGGTAGAGTGGGGAGGCTGCTACCCCGATTGCCCCTCAGAAGCAGGGGAATATGGAGAAGCCCTCAGGAACAATTGGAGCTAGCAGCTGCTGCTTGCACCTGCCGATGGAGCTAAGCAATCAGCACTAGCACCAGCAGTAGGTGCAAGCAGCAGCTCTGGCTCTGGCTGTGGGTGCGAGCAGGGCCAGCACTGGCAGCGCACTGGCAGCAGTTGCGCCGGGTGGGACCACAGCCCACGGGAGCAAAGAATTTCAGTAACCACTGAGGCTCAACCCAATGACAGTGACCAGTGCCCTGCCTTGGTCTGGCACTCCCGCTCACCTGTTCCACCATCCCGTGTGGCTTATACCCACCATGTTCCCTGCTCTGTGGCCTGCTGCTGACGCCCGCCAGTGTTCCACATGCACCACCTGGTGGTTAGCACACGTTATAGCAACCAATTGTTTGGTTGTTCCACCATTAGATCTATTTGCATATTAGGGTTCTATATATAGATTTCTTAAATAGTGAATATGAAAACATATGGACAGGATGGATATACTCCAACTTCAGGATTCTGGTCATCTCGCAGAAGGGAGGCCAAAGGATAGTAGAGAGATTCAAATAACTTATATCTGAAAGGTCATCATCTCACTGCTACTTTTTCAGTGATAGAGCCCTACTAAGTTTCTTTAGATGTTTTAAAATATCAAAGTAAATATTGAAAAGGAAAGCACAGGTAGAGAGTTGTGATGAATACTGTGACCTTTCCTTTGCCAGAGGGAAATTCAGAATTAAAACTAGTGTGATCACTTAAAAAAATATATATATATATAAATATATATATATATATATTTTAATTTATTTTATTGATTTTAAGATAGAAAAGAAAGGAGAGGGAGAGAGAGAGAGAAACATTGATGACAGAGACACATCTACTGGCTGCCTCCTGCATACCCCCTACTGGGATTGAGCCCACAACCTGGGCATGTGCCCTAACCCGAAATGGAATGACGCTCAATCCACCAATGACGGTTGGTCCATGGGATGACACTCAATCCACTGAGCCACATCAGCCAGGCAACACTTACTGTTAGGGTTTTTTCTGATGAGTTACTATATTTTAGGAGTAATAATTTACTCCTAAAATAAAATGACTTTGTCTTGGCATTGCTACCCAAAAGGAGTAAAATGCTATTTATAAAGTTATGAATCACTGACTGCATAGAACAGAATACCTATTCAACAGTATTATTAATTTATTTTTCTGACATAATAAGAAGGCTGAGGGAAGATGGTTCCTTATATTGCTTCTGTAGTTCAAGAATGTCAAGGATGGCATCTATGATTTTCTTGCTTTTCCCTCATGCTACTCAGGATTGGTTTGAACCAGCAATAATCTATCAATAACTTCTAATCAAGGTATTTTTACAGTAAAAAGGAAGAAGAGAATGATTATTGGACAAGCAATTAACAATTATCTACACTGGTCTAGATTTTTTTTTATTTTGATGCTATTACAGCTGTCCATTTCCCCCTCTAATTGCTCCCCTCCCCCCAGCCAGCCACCCACCTTCACTCCATTGTTTTCTGTGTCCATGGGCTACACATATACTACCGTGTTTCCCCAAAAATAAGACATCCTCCGAAAATAAGACCTAGCGCATGGAAAGATAAGATATCCTCTGAAAATAAGACCTAGCGCAACTTTGGGAGAAAAAAATTAATATAAGACACTGTCTTATTTTCGGGGAAACAGAGTATGTTCTTTGGCTATTCTCTTCCAGTCACCCTTTACCTTCTCCCCCCTGAGATATGCCTCTGGTCCTATTTTATTCATCAGTTTATTTTGTTAATTAGATTCCACATGTAAGTGAGATCATATGGTATTTGTTTTTCTCTGACTGGTTTACTGGTATTTTGCTTAGCATCATAATCTCCAGATCCATCCTTGCTATTGTAAAGGATAAGAGTTCCTTCTCTGTTACATTTACACAGTGGAATAATGCAATGGTCTAGATTTAAGAAATATAGACAGAAGGAATAGAACAAGACCATTCTACTTAAAATTCCTGAAACATAAAGAAAATCTTTCAGAAGTTAGCAGAAATGAGTTATGGATTTTAATGAACATTTAAAAATAATTCCACCTTTTTAAACTTAGAAAACATGTTTAGGTGTTAATTAAATTGACAAATTCACTCAGTAAATATTTGTGCCAATGACATTAGTATATCATTGTACTAGGTCCTATGAGAGATATAAAACATGATATTCCCTGCCTTCAAGAAACTACTACATAACTTTTTGTATTATACTTTCTACTTTATAAAACTCTTTCACAGACAATAAATATTTGGAAATCATAACTCTTTACAGAAGAAATTTTTATTTGATAGATAAATAGTAGGGCTTCTAAATCCCTACCTATACCTCTCTGGCTTTTTACCACTTTAATATTCTAGGGCAGAGTTCAGCTGCAGGAATCTGCATTCCTCTGCATTCCAAAGGTGGAAGTAAGTACTACCCAGTGTAATTAGGGCAATTTGGAAGCGCTTGAGAATTTTCAACCTCCCATCTCAGCATCCCTTATGCAACATCATACAGAAACCATTTTGCCCCTCACATGGGATGACTTTGAGGCATGTATTCCATACACTTCCCCTGAATTTTCCAGTGGGATTACATTCATAAT